TGCTTAGGACTGGTATATTTGCTTTAAATTTATTAATTGTTGAATTAAATAATTCAAGTGGTAATTCAAATGGCGTAGGCATATTGCAGTAATCGCTGAAGAGTATTAGGGCTTTAAAATATTTCTGTGCTTTAAAAAAGAAAGTTTGTACTGGAGTCATCAAAAATGGTTCAGCCAGAATTCAGCATCTTTGTAGTTCTGAAGAGGAGTACATTCACGTTTAACCATCCTGGATATGAAATGAATCCCTTACAAGGTATAAATGGGAAAGTGATAATTGATCTGTTATGTCTTCAAGATCATTCAGAAAACTCTGTATTTTAGTCTGCCAAACAGTATTAACAGAGCAAAGTGTTACCATTCTGCTAAAATGAAGCTTAGCAACCATGCATGTGGTTATTATTTAGACTTGTTACATTTTCACAGCTAGTTACAAAAGGCCCATTTCAGTCTGCTAGGACAAGCAGTTCTAGAAGTTTTTAAGCTATCATCCTATTATACTTATTTGTCTGGGATTTAAACAATCATCAGGTTTGCAAGAAAGCATTCACATCAGAGACTTCAGCACTAAAGGTGTTCTGGCTGCTGCTTTGGAAAGATTTCAGGTTAAACAGAAGAACGGAGATACTTCTTTAGTACAGCTCCCCTCATGCAGCTGCTATCCCTAACACTTTCCCTGCTTCCAAGCATACCCGTTTTCAGGATGGATATTCTTCAAACCATTATTGACTCGTGGCTTCAGCAGAAATGCATCTGAAATTATCCGTGGTTATTCCAGTGCAATGGTTTTTTTGCAACAAAGGTTCCACAGTAGTTGATGAATTTCTAAATCTGAAAGTACTCATCATTTTGATACACAGATATTTCCAAAGATGAAGGCCATCCAGGTCTCCAGGAATACTGTTCATAAGAGAACAGGTGAGGATAATCGCTTGGAAATCCAGCTAATCTTTTTTTCCATTTCAAATTAGTGGTTCCTATAATGCTTTTTTTCTTGCACCACAGTGACCCATTTAACTAGATAGAACATATCTACGATTTTTTAGAATAGGTAGCTTCCAATCTTGCTTTGAGTACCAAGGTATTGTCTTTTGTTGAGCATGTTGCAATTTAAAGAGAACATCTATGTTTGCCGAGCCAAAAGGATTTATACGTAAGAGAATAACTAGGGTCAGACTATGCTCTGAACTGTCGTAGTTTTTTTCCAAGAATTGAACAAAATGTAGATATATTTTGGATGTATCTACATTCTGAGGGAAGAGGGGGAGGAGTGGATAATGTTACTAAAGAGAAAAGAATCTGAAAACAACAAGCTTGGATACTTCATCTCTAATATAGTCAGAAAGCTTAAAACATATTCCTTTTGTTATGAAGACTGTTACAAAGAGTGAAGAAAAAAGATGCTGATCACACTCTATTGGTCTCAAGAGCTTGTGAGCCTATCTGCCCAGAATTGTGGCAAACTTTGAATGTACATCTGCAGGATTTGAAAAAAAAAAAAACACCTTTAGCCTGGTATTTTGGCAAAGTCCTAGATTTTGATAAAAAAAAGAAATTCTGCTATATATGGAATGAAGTGGATGAAGTCTGGATACCGAAGGATACAAAGTATATTTGAATGGATATTGTAAAAGTTCCTAAGTTCATCTGTTCGTCAAAACCCTAAGGGGTCTTGGGTCTCAAGACAACGAAGTAGATGTATGCAAACTTGCATGTACTTGACTGTAAAAGAAAAGATACGAAGACATCAGTTTTCTGAGGGTAATTACTCTGTGTTCACCTCTGACTCTGTGATTATTCTCATATAGTTCAAAGTGAGTTCAAGATCTTACAAAGCCCTTGAAACCCAGTGGTGTATGTCAGCTTTCAGATTTCTGCAGCTACCATGGCAACTTAAGAAGTTTTTGTGCTCATTCAATGGAGTTTTTTCATTATGCTCGATGAAGATGGTTGTACTGTGTACTTGTATCTTTTACAACCTAGTTCAAACTGGTATTTTCATATACTTGGGCCAGTTTTTTTGTCCTAGATCCTGAAATCTCATAGAAGCATAACAGTAATGATGAAATCTAGTTCTGAGGATCGCCGTGAAGATTCACTGGAATTACGAAGAAATCTGGAGTAATCTGTAACTCTGTTTGCAATCACCTTACCATTTAGGAAGAGAAAACTTTGAAGGTGTTTTTAGATAAGATGTCAACATGTTGTTATAACTACTAAAACATCAGTATTCATTTGTCAAGAGAAATGAGGAAGGTGCGTCAGAAGAGCTCTGAGTTTAAAGGGAATACGTATGCCAAGTTCTGATGTGATCATCTACTTACTTGTGGTTCAACTTACAATTTGATGTTTTGGATGATGAAGAGCAGCAGCATTTTGAGCCTGGTCAGTTACAGAAGTTCAAGCGAGAAAATTGGTCCTACTTGAATTGTTTTGGTTGTTTAATCTTGGAGCCTTCAGCATGAGGGTTCTGAAAGGTGAGTTTTGGTTGATCCAGCTACAGTTGTTTAAGACATCACAGCTCCTGGCCATCGGCCTTGCTCCTGTAGTAGCCGTAGCAGAGGGAAACATTCACTTGGCTCTTATCTGACTTGTTCAGCCTGGTATGTTTATGTAAACCATCTTCACTAGTGCCTTAAGGTGATACATTGGACAATGACATGTTCTTGTGGAAATAAAAATATGTGTTCCCTTCTGCTACAGGTGATAACCTCATTTAAAGGAATGGGGCGCATAACTGATAACAGTAATGTCTTAAAGGCTACTGTTAGATCTACCATCAGAGTTTTACCAGGACTTTTTAAGTGTGGCTGACATTTCTAGATTAAAGTGAAAAAGATGTCTGATTTTTGCTAAGAACACAACTTTATCAATTTGTTTTTCAAAATTTAAAGAGTTGTAATTCAGAAATAAGGTAATGATGTGTGTGCATGTGTGTGTATCAACGTATATGTATTGTTGAACCAAAAGAGCCCAAACATCCAATTTGAAACCAATGAATCTGAAAGCTTCTACTTCATTATCATTTCTAAGACCTGCCATGAAGCTCAATGAGGCCAAAGCCCTCTTAGTCACATGGAGAAAAAGATTTTTCATCACTTCATGAAGGTTTCAAAAAACTATATTCAT